AAGAGAGAGAAAAAGAGAGAGAGGGGGGGGGATAGGAGAAAAGCTGGAAAAAGATGAACTAGAAGAGACGAAATTGCGGAGAGAAAAATGGTAGAGAAACGAATGAAATGTAAATCAAGTACATGGAACTTGAAGCAGTAGGAAAGAGGGAGAGAGAAAGGAGAGAAAGAGAGAGAGAGAGAGAGAGAGGAAAATGGAGAAAGAAAAAAATAGAGAAAGGAAAAATAAAGGAAAGAGAGTTAAATTGAAAGAAGAAAAGAGAAAGTGAAATAAGAAAGGAAGAAAAGAAGAATGAACGATTAATAATTATATATATAAAAAGAGAAAGAGAGAGAGAGAGAGAGATGGAAAAATAACGAGAAAAACTAAACAACATAATACATACAAAATACACACACACACACTCACTCTATATACACTCACATACATTACATGATAAAAACAGATCATACATGCATTAAGTTTGAAAAAACTTTTGGAAAGAAACTCCATTCGGCAAAATATCTTAATTAACCTTTACTTGATTAACACCGTTGAAAAATTTAGAGCGGGTTTCCAAGAAACATTTTCAGATCATATTATTATTATTATTTATTATTTATTATTATTATTATTAATATTTTATAATAATTATCTTCGTTTTTTTCCACATATTAAGGCCACAATGAAATCATTTCAACGTGACAATTGAACGTTAATTAAGTAAATTCTTAGAAGATAGAGAACAATAGTAATATTAATAATTAAAGATAATAATAATAATTATTATTATATTTTATCATCATAATTATTATTATTATTTTTATTTATTCTATCTCACATTTCTGAAATAATTTTTTAAAGGTCAAGCAGGTTAAAAGGATCGATAGACTGAAAGAGGAAACTCAAACGGAAGAAGGAACAAAAATTAACCACCAAAAGAAATTAAGCAGGCTGTCAATCGAACTAACTGTGTATGTGTGTATGTGTGTTTGTGCGTGTGCGTGCGTGTGTGTGTGTGCGTGGAGTGTGCGCGCGTGAGTGTGCTGTAGTTCGCCAAAATAAAACTGCCATTTCTATAGCGTTCGCTAATTTGTTTAAACTTGAGACATGACTTGAGAAAGAAAAAAAAAAGATGCACTTATACATACAAACATGCATACAGACAAACATAGATACCTACACACATACACGAACATACATACACACATGCACGCACACACACACATACACTATTCGAGATCAATTACAAAGCTTTTTGCTGACAAACATATAACAGATGCCTCAAATAGGCCTGCAACGTTTAATTTGCACACACTTGAACAATTTTAAGACCCAAAAAATACCAAAAAATACCCAAAATTATACATAAATATACAACAAATACAACAAATAAACATAAATATACAAAGATAAACATAAATATACAAAAATATACAAAGTACTTGCCATAAAGCTTGTTTAAATAAACAGAAATTACGTTCAAATAAACCCACAGATGAAATATAAAATTAAATTTTTAGACGAGTCAGTAGAGCGTCTGTCTAGATGATGAATACCTCTTTGACGAAGTTTTTGAAGTCAGAGGGATCTATGTTGGCTAATGGTGGAGTCGATATATGGTTTTTAAGCCTGCCTATTGATAGAGTTTAAGATGTTTGGCGTTTGCAGTCTTTAATTATATGCGTGTGTGTTGTTGTTGTTGTATGTTTGTTTGTTTGTTTGTTTGTTTGTTTGTTTGTTTGTTTGTTTGCTTGCTTGTTTGTTTGTTTGTTTGTTTGTATGTAATGCTATTTAATTGTTTTTTTTCTTATGACTGCTATTTTTTGGTTCATAAGGCTCGCAGGAAGGCTTTAAAAGGAGTGTCCAACCGTCACAACAACAAAATCTTTAACAACATCGGCAACAGAGTAGAAAACAACAACTACATAAATTACACTGACGTCATCGACAACGTCATCAACAACAGCAACAACAACAACATCAACAACAATGACATCAACAACGATATCAACAAAAACAATTGTCCTTAGTTGCGTAACGACATAGTTTTAAAAATCAACAACAAATACTTCACCATCATGAACAACAACAACAACAACAACAACGCAACAAACAACAACATATACAACATCATAAACAACAAAACCAACGTAACCACCAGCAACAACAACAACAACAACAACACCAACGATACAAGTATTTTTGATTATTTAGAGCCAACTTTTTATATCGTCCAGAGTAAAGATAGAAACATAGACCCATTGATGGAGCTTGTCATTATTATCATCTTTGCCATCCTCATTGTAGTTGGCGTTTTTGGAAACTCTCTAGTCTTCTTGGCAGTAAACAAAATTTTTTTTTAATTATTTTGGATAAGAATGGATGGATGGATGGATGGATGGATGAATGGATGGATGGATGGATTGATGGATGGATGGAAAGATGGACGAACGAACGAACGAACGAACGATTGAATGAAAAAATATTGTAATGAATAAAAAACGTCCGATTTTGATAA